AATCGTCATCATGCCAGACACGATCTTCGAGGTGTTCGTTGTCGTGTGCAACACGATCGTCGTCGTGTCGAGCACGCCCGCCGTCGTGTCGCGCAAGACCGCCGAGGTGTCGGGCAGGATCATCACCGTGTCGAGCACGATTGTCATCGTGTCGGACACGATCGTCGAGGTGTTCGACACGATCGTCGTCGTGTCCAACACTGTCGTCGTCGTGTCGGGCACGGCGACGCTCGTGTTGAACACGACAACGCTCGTGTCGAACACGGTCGTCGTCGTGTCTGTCGGACACGACAACGCTCGTGTCGGACACGAGGATCGAACACGATCGTCCTCGTGTCCGACACGATCGTCGTCCTGTCTGACGACCGTGTCGGACTCGACGACGCTTGTGTCGAACACAGTCGTCGTCGTGTCCGACACGATCGTCGTCCTGTCTGACGAGGTCGTCGTCCTTTCGGACACGATCGTCGTCGACACTGTCATCGTCGAGTCCAACACGGTTGTCGACGTGTCCAACACGAGCGTCGTCGTGTCCAACACGACGGTCGTCGTGTCCAGCACGCACGCTGCGGGTTCCGAGAAGAAACAACCGTCGTCGCAGACGCGATCCCCGAGTGGGGTCGAGCACAGCACAGCGTCCGTTTTCGACACGACAGAGCCGTGGAAGAAAGCACCATGGTTGTGTTCGCCTCGACAGCGGCTTTGCGACTTCCGCGTTCCAGGAAAGAAAAACACTGCTTCGTGTTCGACACGACAATGGACGCTACGGGCTAACTGTTGTTGGCGCAGAGCACAGCGTGTGCCGTTTTCGGCACGGGCTGCGCTGTCTGCGGACTGTTTACTGTCATGTTCGACAACACGAGACAGCGGACAACCGATGCCATCGTGGAAGAAACGAGCGTCGGTACAACCTCGGGAGATACGACCTACCCCCCCGTTGATACAGGTGTCACGTCCTACAGCAGAAACAACCGTCGAACACGACCATCTTCTACATTACCGTGTCGTCGTCGTGTCGTGTGTCGTCGCTGAAGTTCCTGGAACAACATCGGTTCTGTGTTCTGCAAACCGAGATCGTTCTTAATGTTTCCTATTAATGCTCTCATGTCATGCTGTGTTTTGCGCGTCAGGATCTCCGCCTTTCCGATGTTGGTACCCGCTGTGTTTTGTGCGTCGTGATCCAAGATCAAATATCCCCTTTTGCCGAAAAGGTGTCATGCAGATCTATTACTTTCCGCTACTTCCCGTAGTCCTTTCCATTGAAGTTATAACACGGTGCTCACTATAGCTATTCACCGCTTTATATGCTAGCTTAAACACATTACGAGAGGCAAAACCCACTTCTCTGTGGCTGTATAATTTGAACCATCGCTTAGAACCCAGACTCAAGGATCCCAATCTATACTCACAATGGTCTTACTCACAATGGCCTTTAGTGTCCTTAGCCTAACTCTCCTCGAAGTCCCTTGATGACGTTTATCATAACAGACTCCCTTACTCATCCTCGACCTTAGTTTAATGCAAAAGTACCAAGTTGCTCTTATGACCACTCAAATAACTTTTTCGACCATATCAGGTACCTTATAGGGCCCACTTCCACAATAATCATGTTTAGCCATGTTAACGCCACCTCATTCTACCTTAATCATATCATGCAGGCCAGCATCGTCAAAACCCCCCAACTTGCAAGGTCAGAATAGGTACCAACTTCAACTTTCATAACATTAGTCAGAGTACGTGAGCGTATAGTCATAACGTTTACCTCACGCGCCGCCCTCAGTGCATTAGTCAAAACCAACTCACAGAATCAACTCTCACTCCCCCTCTATCCAATACCATCAATCGATTAACAATCAAACCCAGCGAAACTTCTCATTTTGCCTAGTTCCTACATTCTCGTACCCGGATGTCGTTCCACCAAGGACAACGGCAGGCAACCGTTATCCATGGCAACGGCGCCACATGTCGAGAGCATCGGTCCCGCGCCAGGCAGAGCGGGACCCTCCCGGCGGCGTCATGCAGAAGTTGGTCTGATCCTCGTTGCGAATACACATGGAGATTCCGCAAGCCACTCCGGCCGAGTGCGCCATCCATACCTCTCGCGATCGCCTACGACATATAAGGTCTACGAGAGACACAACTTTAGTTCCACCTTACGGGAGTTGTCACCTCCCTTCGGTGGGCATATCCCCGCCGAGCTATCAGTCCACAGTACGAAACCTAATCAGTTGCAATCGCAGAGGTGGACCAGCCGAGGGCGTTTCGCATTCGCAGTAGCATAGGGGGTACACGTGGTTTTACACCTCTATCGGACCCGCACGTGAATCAACGTACTGGGGGGCTGAAGTCCCAAGCTCGATTCGTCATCGGTCGACTAGGACGTCTCCCACACAGCACACGTACATCACATTACTCACACACACAAAACGACACAACAATAAACAACACAACAACACTCTTATTCCCTTTTGTGTCCATCCCATAACCTTCCGACGCGAAAATTTGGTAGATGGCACGCACGAAACTTAGTATATAATTGCGCGGACGCAAGGGTTTCCCATATCGGCTAGCAATGCATGAATATGCAAGCACTCGTAATGATGACGTACTATGTAATGTTCATAATCAAGCGGTCCCTCGTGGATCCGAGTACCGCTTATGACACTCAAGTGTCAATCTCGAACTATCGTGAGGGTCGAACCCTTCACGATATTGCACGGCTGAAGGAATAGTTGTTTGGCCCCCGCGGCATCTTTGGTCCTTAGGCCGAGTGTCCTGGTGGGCAGGGCAAATAGGCTCTGCGCGGGGGGCGATCCTTTCCACGTTGGGTCTAAAACCTGGGATGTCCTGGACAAGGACCTCGAATCCAGAGAGAAGGTTAACAACAGTCGTATTTTTCATCACCACTTCAAGACACCCTTCACCACTTCAGGATGTAGCGTGCCTAAACATGTGGTTTTCAGAGCCTTTAGACCTTTCACCACTTTTTGACACCCTTCCCCACTTCAGGATGCAGCCTGCCTAAACAGATGGTTTTCAGGGTCTTCGGACCTTTCACCACTTCAGGACACCCTTCACCACTTCATGATGCAGCCTGCCTAAATATATGGTTTTCATGGTCTTAAGACCTTTCATCACTACAGGACCATTCAGGATTTTTAGACTGCCCAAAACTCTCACTTCACCACTGCAGGATGCAACTTGCCTAAACATGTGGTTTTCAGGGTCTTCGGACCTTTCACCACTTCAGGACCATTCGGGATTTTCAGACTGCCAAAAATGCTCACGTCATAATTTTCATTCTTGAATTTTCGGCTACCCGTTAACCGCTTGTGCGAATCCAGGCTCAGGACCAACGTCCGACCAATAAACTTTATAAGAAGCAAAATAGCAAAGGAAGGGAGTCTCCTTTCCTTTCTCAATTTCAACCCCAGTTAACACTCATAGGCGTGGCTCTGTAGGTCATGCAAACACTCAAACGTAGTTTAAGCCTCCTGATGAGTCGGTGAAACTCCGACGAAATAGTTTGTCACATCCCCTCGTTTGTTGTCCTCTTCTCCCTCTCTGCCTACGGTTTACCGGGCAGTTCTATTTGACGATATATATATATAGATAGATAGATATATAGATATATATATTTATAGTGGGGAATAAATATGTGACGATCACTTCTCACAATCAAAGTGAGACTCCTCTCAGCCACATATATGTATGTGATCGCATGCAATCAAAGTCAAAGTCTTCACCACAGAACATGGTTGCAATCACATCAAAGAGTCAACCAAAAGTCCAAACACTACACGGGGTCAACTTCAATAATTTTCTCCACTTACACCCTTCGCCTTAGCCATACAAACCTCAACCTTCGCGCACCCTTCCAACAATGAAATACTCAATACCTTTGTTAAATTGTCATTTAATAAAGTCTGGGTAAAAACACAATGAAAATTTTTTAACCACAAAGCTAAAGTTTAGGTTGAGTGACAATAGTGGATTGGAGTTGAATCGTAAACCGACGAATCCGCAACCGACTTGTTATTAGTGATAACAGAAAATGATCATCGTGGGATCAAGCTGGATCTAGCCCAATCTTGAGTCAGAATGATCAAGGGAACATGTACCATAAGGCAAGTCAATGCACAAACTAAATCATCAGTGTATGGGGAATAAATTTTCATAGCACATTCTTACTCAAAATTATCTGTCAACTAAGTTTAAGTCTACCCCTAAGCCAGTATCCAAAGAAAAGGTAGACCATTGGCAGAGTCTTCCCTATACACGGTGGATTGTCAGAATCGCCACCAGTCAAAATATAACCTAACTCGTTTAAATTAAGAAAATTTCGGCAGCGCTTCCCGTAGGAAAAATGTCCTTTCATTAATTATATTAGCTTAAATATGAAAACTTATACAATATATAACTCTAAAAATTCACGTTTTTTCTAACTCCCTGAACTAGTAAAAATTTGGGCAGCATCTCCTATAGAAAAGTAGACTTCCCGGATTTATAATGAGTCGGATAAGAACTTAAAGTAAAGTTTGGGTTTAGCCAAGACAAAATTTTAACTAACTCCGTAGTTTTGTAGAAATTTCAACAGCGCTTCCAGTACCAAAAGTAACTTTTCAAAATTTATACAAAGCTAAGTTTAAGTCTGGAAATAACTTTGACTTCCCAAAGTTTCTTTATGTCTAACTTTCTGATTTAGCAAAAATTTGGGCAGCACTCCAGATTTTTACTAAGTCATATATAAAATTTAATCAAGTTAAATTTTTACTAAGTCATACATAAAATTTAATCAAGTTAAACTTTAAAAAATCAAAATACGACTTATTTTGTAGAAACTTTTGCAGCGCTTCCCGTAGAGAAAGTACCTTACCAAGATTTATAAAAAGCCAAGCATAAGAAATGATCCGAGAAAATGCAAAATTAACTTAAGTAAAATAAACTTAACTAAAAAAATGGAGGAATTGAAACTAATTCATATGGCTCTAGCACGTAGCGAGCTTCTAAAACAACCACCTACCAAATTGAAACTCAAACTAAATAGTAATCTTTCTCAGTCACAGGCAAGGTAAAACCACAAAGGTAAGTACTCTCACAAGTCTAAAGTTACTCTTGTCAAACATAAGGCATAAAGTTAGACCACCAAAACTTATGGAACAATATCTAACTCAATCATTGAGTATACACTACAAATTTTTTCTTCCTTGGACATATGACTAGGTTGTCCATCCTAGTCGCCCTAAACTGTTTAAGTAAACCAATTACATATAATTGTCTTCACTTAGTCTTTTAAGGTAGCATATGACTGAACAGATCATCTAAGCTCGAGGTTCGACCTGCCCCTTCTTACCACAAATTTTACTCTTAGTTGATACTCTCTTAAGTTTGTGATAAGCTATAGTCAGACCACCCAAACTTATGGTATATTGTCTGACTACCATGTTCGTAGGTAAAATAGTAGTAAGATATAGCCAAGTTATAACATTTTGGTTACAGCGTGTACAAGACATTGAACCAAGACCACCCAAACGTATGAAAAATGTCTGGTCTTCTGCCTGATTTATTTCTTAATAGTAAAGCAGGAAGAGGTTAAGCCACCCACACTTATGAAACATGCTCAGACCCCCTCGTTCAAAACCAAAAGAAACTAAGAAAACCGAAAATAAACAAGGCAACCAAGCCATCCAAACTTATAAGACAATGCTTGTTTCCCCCAAAAGTCAACCACAGATCGTCCTTGCAAGTCAGAGCAACAAGAACACCCAAACTTATAAAACATCTCTGGTTCTCCAGGCATCTCAAAAATAAACATAGCATAGGGTCTCCTCAAACTTATGGAGATTTGCCCAGCCTTTGATCGACCCAGTCAAACACAAGCAATATTGCCTTCCTCCCATTGTTCTCGCAAATGCAATCTCGTAATCTGCTTTCAGTCGGACAATAAAACTGAAACTGACATTACACATGTATTCCTTTACTTGAGTATGAATCATGTCTTGAAAGTCAAACTAAAAGTCAAAGTAGAGGTGCACATCATATACTTAGTCAAAACATAACAAAAGATACAGATACGGGTTATAACTGGGTTTATAGAAGAAAATTGAAACTCTTACCTTTCAGTTCCCTGCCTCCAGAACTCCTCCTGAGTTCCGACAGAGCTCCTGCAATCG